TCTGGTATTCCCTGCTTTCAGCCAAGATCCATCTAACATCAGCAACGATATCCCTAGTACCACGACCCCTTCTAAACCTAGCCTGGACTTCCGGCAGTTCTCTGCTGATGTGCTGTTCTAATTTGACAGTACACATAAAAATAAAACAATAAAAATAAAAAAAATAACTCTCACCCTCACATACTAACTCCTGTGGTACAGTCTTATTACTCAAAATGGTTTTCCCTGTCTTTGCATTTAATTTTGATCAAACAGCTTGAGTAAGACTATGCTAATGTGAACGAGGTAAATAGAAACTTTTTGAGTGGAAACATAAAAACAAGTTGTGTAGGTTACTAATGAAGGGATTGGTCAGTCTTAACACCCCGCTAGGCTTAAACTGAGCAGTTTACTGGCAGAAAATAGGTACCTTGCTACCAGCAACCATGAGGTATCCTGTTTCCAAACTGAACTGTAATCTGTTAACTTCCCTAATCAACTACATAATGGTGAGCGTGCTCTGTGAGTTCTGTGTGGCCACTGCCATGGAGAGGTGGACCAAGAGTAGAGCAGTAAGATGCCAAAGAGGGCTGGCTGGCTGATGTCAGAATTGATATAAAGAGGCACGGAGAACACAGGGCATGTATAACCTCAAAGGAACTGGTAGATGCTATGATGGGATGCTTCCTCCTGTGGACTTAGTGGAAGTCAGATGCGAGTGCCTCTATGTGGCCTGAACTGGTTTCACAGCTCCTATATATCTACCCTGATCTTTCTTTCAGGTGGTTGTTGTATGTGCCGTCAAGTCGCCTGTAACTCAAGCGACCCTATGTACAACAGTCCTAAACCCTGCCCTATCCTGTGCCAATCTCATTGTCTCTGTCACACTGATCTCCATTACCCCAGCGATGGAATCAATCCATCTCATCGAGGGTCTTTCTCTCCTGCACTGTCCCGCCACCTTTCCAAGCGTGATGTCCCTCTCCAAGGACTGGCCCTTCCTTTGCAACAAACCCAAAGTATGTCAGAAAGAGCTTCAGAATCTTTGCCTCCAAGGAGCAGCCTGGCTTCACCCTGTCCAGGATAAACCTGTTTGTTCTCCTAGCAGTCCATGGTATATTCAATACTCTTCTCCAGCACCACAGCTCAAAGGCGTCAAATCTCCTTCTATCAGTCAATTAAATTATCTATCTCATCTAGACACTTGTACCATAATATCTATAAAGTTTTTATCATTGTGAACATTTAATGCTTTTTTTCTTTGTTTAAGCTTCCTGAAAGCAGAGACCACATCCTAATCCCTCAGGTGTCCTAGCACATTGTTCAGGGGCTGGCACATACCCAGCTCCTAACAAATGTGGGCTGACTAAATCAAGTAACAGTGACATGACTACATGTGTAGTAATACGAAGACCACTGAAGACCAAAGCTCAGGCTTTATAGATGCTCCCCTTCCTAAGACTAGTGTATGGGTATCAGGTACCCTCTCACACCTGTGTCCTACAGTCTTGGAAAATTCCTTCTAGTTCACATAGTACAGATTTTTGGAATCTTGAGAGGAACAAAGCATACTGAAGTGCAATAACCTTTTCAGAAGACCAAAAACAGGAAGAAAATAAAAAGGACAAACATTTGAGATAAATTCTGATATGCTCTAGGGAATGTATAATAAACCATTTGAGTAAGTTTATATAACTTTACACTAGGAATAGGAACAAAATTCCCTAAGAATTATAAACATACCATCCAAAAGAAAGACGTGATCACCAAGCTTAAGAAAAACAATATCATTAAAGTAAAAATCATCTCTAGCATGCCGATCCTTACATGTTCAACAACTCTGTTCTTCAAGTCTTTCCACCTCTTTTCACCTTCCTCTGTAGAGGCAAAAACATCAGTTGCTGGACTCTCCCGGGAACCTTTCCTTAATTCCATCCCATAGTCCTCAACCAGTGTGGTCCAACGCATCAACTCCATTGTAGTAAAAAGCTTTAAAAGATCCCTGTTTAAAAGAAATCAATATGCCAAATCTGTATAAATGAAGTAAGCATTACTGAATAGCAAAAATTTTTATTGTATAAAAATAAAAAACATTTACCATTTCAACCATTTTTATGATCTCTGGAATAACCAATTATAAACTTATAATGCTTTTAAGCAAATGTTTCTTATATAATAGATTTTCAGAAATGTGTTATGTCCAAAAAGCCCTAAGCTACTAATGATAAAACTTACTAGGAAATGGTTACCAAAAGGTTAATGAACCAAAAGTTGTTAAAATGGTCTTGAAATAAAACTTGTATTTGATAAGTGGTGTACAGAATAAAGTATCACATCTCACTATATTAATTTATGATACAATGTTAAAAAGCATTTCACCATTTAATACCTCTAGTACAACTCCGTATCTCTACCAGACACCAATTCAGAAATATAATTAGCCATACCCAAACACACTGTGCCAGTGAATTAGGGGACAGCAAGGCTAGTATGTAACATGTTCCACAAAAACCAGATTTTACATCTTGCCTTGGGGAGCCTTAAAACTCGACAGTGGCTATCTATGGCATAACTCCTGACCTCTTCCTGTCCACAGCAAAGAAGAGCCAAGAAAAATCAAACAGCTAATGAACCAAGAGAACTGCAGCCTCCACAACTGTCAGATCAGAAGAACTGGATGGACAGAACCCAGATACCACTGCCAAACACTCTGAAAGAGATCACAAGAGAAGATCCTGGATAGAGTAGGACAGAAAATGTGGAACAAACTGAAAACATTCAAACACATAAAGACCAGACTCACTAATCTGACAGAGTGGTGAACTCCTAAGATTATGGATTTTAGAGATCTTTTAAGCATGGAATTGAACTCAGCCTTGTGGTTCAATTTTCAGCCAAATAATAAGACCTACACAGTTAACCACATGAGATCAAAAGGGTAGAACTTGTGCAGAGATAAAGCGAAGAAGGCAAGAAGGAACAGAAAAAAAGGATGAATAGAAATGGGAAAAACAGTCGATGTCATCAAACAAAATGTGCATCGATTTTTATATATAAAAATCCATTAGTCAGAATAAAAAAATGTTTAAAAAGATCAGAAATCTACATAGAGGTTAATGATTTTTCTTTCAAAATGATGCTTTTATTGAAATTTACGATGCCAATTACAAAAGCACTTACTTGTACTTGGGAATTTCTTCTAATTTCTTGTCAGCGCTTATTCGGTGAACCAAATCTGACTGTTCATTGTCAAAAGGAGCCAGGATAACATAAAGAACAACACTTTTCAGGGCCTAAAAACGTCAATTGTATGATATAAGGTTACTTACAGGACAATCCAACAAAATGGAAACTTCTGCAGGAACTGAAAACAATCTCAGGGATAACTAACTATCTTTGAGAGGTCATATCTTATCATGTATCCTTTGTTGTAAGTGTTCTCTTACAATACAGAACAATATCAAATTTTCCTAAGACAACGGTCCCTAAATTAGTTTTTCTAAAAGTCTGTTTTCAGTTTGTAAGTAGCTCCCGTGTTTATAAAAAAACACTATAATAAAAGACAACAGTCTCTCAAAAGTTTTCATATATGGTTACAATAAATTTGTTAATTTTAATTACCACCTAAACTGACATTAATTTTTGACAAGTATATAAAGAAAAAATAACAAATCAACAGCATAAAATATGGAATATAACATGTTACTGAAATATATCTGTATGTGTGTGTGTATATATATATATATATATATATATATAAAATTTAAAATTTTACTGTTGGTGCCAATCATTCACGCTTTTGCAAAAGAACTGGCAAAGAAAGGCTGAGTCTTTTTCTGTAACCTTTATTAACAGATACTCTATTATTTTAACAATAAGTGTGCATCGTTTTAAAAGCATTACATAATTCAGACTACTGTCCCTACTGGTCTGTGCCACACATTGAGTATCATGATACAATTATATATAATGATTGACACTAAAATTTCAAAATAAATGGGAAAAACCCCCAACTGTTCCTAATTAGTATCAATGTCATTTATCAGAATATATTCTTACCTGCTGCCATTTTTCACTTTCTGCCTGTATACAGGGAGTGTCATAAATTGCTCTGTAGTGTTTACAAATAGACAAATAAGATCCTTCATGCTGATCCAGCTGAATCATTAAGTTATAATACTTCAATTTTAACTTCTGAGGGAAAAGATTAACAAAATAAATTGTGTTTAGAGAGGTTTTCAAAGACTTCTCACGTAAATATGCAGCCAAAGATATACATACCTCTGTATTTTCTTCTTGAAAAAATTTGGTGTTAATTTTCTTGCTGATAATTTGTGTGCGAATGTAATCCTTCACAGCTAGGCAGAGCCTCATCTGCTCCAAAATAAACTCCACTCGCTCTTTCTTTTCCATTGACCCATAGGTTTCCACCTAGCAGATGTAATTGCCCAGTAAGTTTACAATAATCAATGATTTCTAAGAGTTGTAACAGAATAAAGTACTGCAAAAATGTTCAGCCTTATGAACAGTATCCTGGGAGTGTTGACCATTACACTAAAAAATTTTTTTTGACAAAAAAATTACACAGTAGTAAAAAAGAAATCATTAGTGGTTACTAGCTGTCAATGGGAGGGAGGGAGAGAGGAGGACTCAGTGCTGAGAAAAGACTGAGAGTTTCAGGGAGCTCTGGTGGCCTAGTGGCAAGAAACTGTACTGCAATCCTGAAGGTATGCATTCTGAATCCACCAGATGCTCAGCTGGAGGAGGGGCAATCTCCTTCTGTACCAGTCGGATCTGTTTCAACAGGACACAAGAAGAAGAAAAAAACTGAGCTTCTCGTAAGAACAATGTAAAGATGTGGAAATAGATAAGAGGTGATGATTGGAAAAACAAGACAGTAATTAAAAAGTATAGAACTGCACATGTGAAGATGTTTTATATATTTATATGTATATATATATATGTATACATACATACGTGTGTGTGTGTGTGTATATATATATATAAAACACACACAAAAGGACACCCCCCCCCCAAAACAAAAAAAAGGTAATGGCATAAAGAATTTCGTATCTTTTCCTTTCTGTTGCACAGCGAGTGAGGTACATAACTGAAATGTTCAAATAATCAATTTAACTTAACAGGGGCCCCTAGTAGTTTCCAAGAAGAAAATGTGAATTTCCTAAAATCATATACAAAATTCTGAGTCTAGTTTACTATACACAGCTTTCCTTAAGATTTCTTAGCTCTTTGTCAAGTCTTCTTGAGGCCTCTCCTAAACATTATCCTGACACACTGCAAATTATAAGGCAATTTGCACTGAAGCAGAGGAGGGAGAGAACCGTCTAAAAGAGAGATGTAACTGGGTATTTCTGTCATCACAGGAGACTAGAGCGAGGGCTGCATGGTGGAGGG